AATGCGAGGCATGACATTCATTTTTATCGCGTTTATGCGTCCAAACCAGGAGATGTACTGGGCCGTCCACCGTTTTATATCCAGTTGTAAGGTTGCTAGAAGGGGTGCGAAGTTCAGTTGGTATATGCGCGTCGTGTCCTCGGGTAGCCAGACGCCAAGATATCTCAATTTGGAGGTGCATATTCTGAAGGGGAATTGCGTTTGGATGTGTTGCTGGAGAGTCGCGTCCCTCGTGAGCAGCATTGCCTCGGATTTATCCAGATTTAGCTTGAGGTTGGATACCTCGCTGTAGGTTCGGAATGTGTCCAGGAGGTTCGGTGTCGACACCCTAGGTTGCTCCAGGAAAAATAGCATGTCGTCGGCATAGGCCGCTACTCGATGTTCCTGTCCGCCTATGCTAAATCCCGTGATCCCTCCATGCCGTCTGACCGCTTCGAGGAAGGGTTCGAGGGTGAGGGCGAATAGAAGGGGGGATAGGGGGCATCCTTGCCTTGTGCCATTGCTTATGTCAAATGAGTCGGTCAGGGCTCCATTGACACGTATGCGTGCAGTCGGCGTGGTGTATAGCGCGGCTACCCAGGTTCGCAGCCGTGGACCAAACCCCATGTGACTCAGGGTCGCTGCCATGTAATCCCAGTCTACCCGGTCAAATGCCTTTTCGGCGTCGGTGGATAGAAGCACCATGTCTCGTTTGCCGGCCACTGTTGCGTGTATGATGTTAAGGGCTCGGATGGTATTGTCCCTAGCCTCCCTCCCGGGTATGAACCCGACCTGGTCCGGGTGGATCAGGTCGGGGAGCGTCTGCGCTACTCTGGTGGCCATGGCTTTGGCGAAGAGTTTTATGTCCGCGTTTAGTAGGGAGATTGGACGGTAGCTGGCACAGTTAGTTGGGTCTTTTCCTTCCTTCGGTATGATCACGACCGTTGCCCTCAGGGTGTCCGTAGGGAATCGTCCTCCTTCTTGGAGGGAATTGATTCCGGTGAGGAGTCTAGGAAGGAGAACGTCCTTAAAGGTGCGTATATACGCTATAGGGAGGCCGTCTGGTCCCGGAGCCCTGTGGGGTTTGGATGTTTTCAAGGCTCCCGCTAATTCCTCAATTGTAATGGGTTGTTCTAGGTCGGCCTCTTGTTCAGGCGTCAGTTTACGGGTGGTATGTTCTTCCAAGTATGCAGCTATCCGTGCCTGGTGTTGTGCTACTGTATTTCCCGTTTTGTGCTGTGCTTGGTCGTATAGCGTCCTGTAATATTCTTTGAAAGCCGTTAGGATGCCCTCCGGAAGCCGGGTGATAGCGCCTTCTTTCGTGTGTATCTTGTGGACGTGTCGTGTTCTCCGTTTTTCCTGGAGCATCTTCGCCAACAGCCGTCCACTTTTATTCGAATGTTCGTAGAAGTATCGGGATGTTTTCCTGGCTGTGTGGAGTAGTCCTTGGGTCAATATGTCCCGAAGCTCTCTGCGAGTTTCCGTGAGTCGGAGGTATGTGTTATCATCCAAAGTGGATTTATGGGTTTGCTCAAGCTCAGCTATGCGGCTTGTCAGGTTAGCAATTTGCGTCGTCCTTTGTTTTTTGCGGCGGGTGCAGCTCGTGATAAGGTGTCCTCGGATGACACACTTATGCGCTTCCCAGAGAGTCAGTGGCTGTATGTCCGGACTTTCATTTGTCGAGAAGTAGTCATTTAGGGCCTGGTTCATAGCTGTGGTAAATTCCAGGTCGTCCAGCATGGATTCATTAAGTTTCCACTGTCTGTCTCTGGGTTTAAAGAGCGGGGATTGTGTATCGATCAGAACCGGTGCGTGGTCAGAGTGGTCCATGATGCCGATGTCTGCGCTACGTAGTAGGTTAAGATACTCCTGGGCCATGAAAATGTAGTCGATTCGACTATAGTGTCCGTGTACCGCGGAGTAGTGGGTATAGTCTCGGGCGTCTGGGTGGTACGTCCTCCAGCAGTCCACTAGCCCCATCTTGTGCAGGAGTCGTTGCGTGGCTTTCAGGCAGTGTGTGGGGATCGCACTTTGGCCCCTCGAGGTGTCACGTATGGGGTCCAACGGCATGTTTAGATCTCCTGCTGCTATCAGTAGGCCCCCTCTGAACTTCTCCAGTTTGGCTAGCGCCTGGCGCATGAACGTGTGTTGCTTTCTGTTTGGTCCGTATAAGCACGCGAAGGTGTATTCATGGTCTGCGATGGTGCCTCTCAAGAAGAGGAACCTCCCATTCGGGTCCGCTAGAGTTTGTGTAGTTTGGAATGGCACCGAGTGGGCGAATAGAATGGCGACTCCGGCTTTTTTGGTGTCGGGGTGGTTAGCGTAGAAACCCAAAGGGAATCGCCGGTTTTCTAATTTGGGTGCGTCTCCACCTTTGAGATGGGTTTCTTGCAGGAAAACGACGGAGGCCTTAGCACTCCACAGTCGGCGGTGCAAGTGGGCCCGTTTTTCTGGGGAGTTGAGTCCCTGGACGTTGTTAGACCAATACGTCAGCTGGGCCGGGGCAAACGCCCGGGTGGCAGCCATTTTGGGAGGGGGGGGGCATTAACTTATCTAGTGGAATATTTACAGCAGTGGGCCCTCCCGTCCACCACTCTAGTTCCCAACATGTGACACCCGTGTCCCTCGGTAACCAAACACCACCACCCACTCCCGGATCCCCCCCTGACCTCCCGGCAACAGTTCGATCTGCTGTCCGTTGTACAGCTATGTTTAGCAACCGTTTGAGGTGGGAATTCGTCCTGTTGAGGGCCTGGTTGCCTTCTTTGGGGAGTTCCACTTTGTCCCATGAGACCCCTCTCCCATGAAATTCCCCCCCTCCCAACCTGGCAGGGAACCCCGCTGTAGGAGCTTGGCTTTTGGTAGGACCGGGTGGTACTATCCTCTATAGCTGACCCCCGGGCTGCCCCGCCACCCCACCTAGACAGGCTCCCCCCTTGCCCCTTGACTAGTGTAGTGGCAGAGTACATACCCTTGGCTGGCCGGAGCGTGGAAAGTCCCGGGCTGGGAGGAATCCGAAGGGGAGAAGGGCCACGGCCGCAGGGTTCCGGTGCCGGAGCGGCTCAGGGGGGGTAGTTCCCGTGGCTGTTTAGGGACGGTGTTGGTTTATTCTTCCGAGTTCTCCGGGCCTCCCCTGCGTTGTGGAGGGGTGGGTCCCGGGCGGAGGTTATGAGCTACTTCTGACGGACCCGTGGCCCGGGCTGGGGGACCCTCCAGGATCCAATTCGGGATCTGTATCATGGGTAGGCCCGCGGCTTGTAGAAAGCGGGGGACGTCGTTCGGCCAGCGGATTATGTGCCAGACATTGCCTGAGCGGGCTTGGAGGCTGAATGGGAACCCCCATTTATACGGAACCCTTCTCTCCTGCAGCATCCGTGTCAGTGGTCTAAGTGCTCGGCGGGCATCCAGGGTAATAGTGGACAGGTCCTGGAAGAGGGAGACCTGGGAGTCCATGTATGTGATCCTTTGCTGCGCCCTCGCTGCTTGCATTATGGCCTCCTTTAGTTGGAAGGATTCTAGGGAGCAGATGATGTCGCGTGGGAGGCCGTCCCTTCTAGGTGCCCGCAGGGCTCTGTGGGCCCTTTCCAGACCGAAGTCACTAGGAGCCTCACTGCCCATGAGGTGTGTGAACAGGCCTGTTAGGACTTCTTGGGGGATTTCTCCCTCAGTTTCTGGGAGGCCTCGGACCCTTATGTTTTTGCGACGACCTCTGTTGTCGAGGTCCTCCACTTGGCGGCGGATGTCCAGGAGAATGTTTCCCTGCCGCCCCGTAGCCAGTTCAGCCGCTTGCATTGTTTGGGTGTGCTGGAGGCGGTCTTCCTCCAAGCTATCTATGCGTTGTTCCAGGGCCGAGAGGTCCCTGCGGACCGCCGTGATCTCCTCCCGGATAACGGCCTTCAATTCCGCGACCATGTCTGACTTATCTTTGCGGGTGAGCATGTTATTAGTTATAGTTGCCAGGTCTGCAGATATTTGGGTCAGCGTAGGGGTCGCCGGAGGAGTCTGGTCCGAGAGCGCCATGCTTGAGGTCGGAGAGGACGGCGTCGGCGTGGCGGGGCCGTCCAGGCCTCGCGGGCCCTGGGATGCCTGTAAGTATTCGTCCATCGGGCCGGGGTTATATTTCGCCGGCGTGACACCGGAGTTACCAGCTGCGTTTGTCCTCTTGCTTTTCCCCATCTTTTTTAGCTGTTTATGGCGCTATTTGCCGGGGTTTACCAGGTTGGGGCCTAGGAGCTTAGGAGTAGTGCGTCTTACTCCATCGGTAGTCAGGACACGCCCCCCCAAAATGATAGATTTTTGTAATCATTCCAATCCCTAACCTTGTCTTAGTGCTATATGTTTTAATGTCTCTTTTGTGGCGGTATATATGACTGTACCACCCTGTTTATTGGGGATATTCAGAACGTATCCGAAGTCAGAAGACCTTAATATTATTATGCTAGGAATGCCTATTACACCATCAATTTTGAATTATCTTACGGACGGACATGAATTTGGGAGTCAGATGGCTCTATATTTTTACATTATTGGAGCTCTGCATTATTGGATATTATATGGTTTAAAATGCTGTTTCTTTAGTTCTGAGATATTCTAACGCTTAAAACAATAAATAGTCAGTAAGTAGCAGGAATAAAGCAGGGATGGATGGGTCTGATCCGAGGAGCTTACAGTCTAGAGCCTGTTGGTGCTATAGTTCTAGAAGAGGTATGTTCCAGCCAAGCCAGCAGATCCGCGTGGGAATACCGTTTGATCAAGACCTGTTGACTGCGCTACAAGCTTGAAGCTATCAACATGTTTGCAAACAGGAGGCAGCTCAGCGAGAAACGTCTCTCTCTCTCTGGACAGAGGGGAGAATTGGATTCTATTGTATTTCTATTTATTTTCTCTAGCACCATCTTCTGCACTGCTACCTTGTTTTCTCTCTCTCCCCCCTCACTCTGTGATCTTCACATAAGATATTTACGAATCATCAAGCTCACTGTGTGATTTGAATCACAATTCAACTTTGAATTCTATGTGTCGTCTTGCTCAGAAATGCTTCAGACTTGAGAAAGGGAGGTTCTCCCGAAAGCTTGTCATTAAAAAATGATGTTAGTTCAACACTATATTTTTAAAGAGAGAATGTCGTTTGTTTCCGTTCTCTGTTGTGTCAGTCTAACCAGTCTGCATTCCCCTGAGCTCGAGCCCTGCGGCTAGCCATTGACGGGTGTAATGTCACAAGGTGGCTGTCCCTTCCCTCGCTCAGCCGCAAGTTCCCGGCTCACATAACAACCCTAATGTATTCATTGTCTCCCTTCAAACTTCAAACAACATGTCTGAAAATTATTGGATTGACTTTGTTTTTCGATAGTATCAAATCTGTATAAGACAATTCAATTTTTACCAGGTAAATGTCCTTTTATCAGTAAAAGTAAGATTCAGATAAACAGAATCAAAATGCAGTCAGTGACGTATCTTATGATAAGTGTGTGTTGAGGGCGAGCAAATTGATAAACGCTACGAGGATATAAGAGAGATTGGAGGCAAAATGGTGCAAATCATAGATTGATGAAGTGTGGTAAATCAATACCATGCTGCAACGTTTATTATTACAGCTCAGTGTATTATTACAGCTCATTGTATTATTACAGCTTATTGTATAATTACAGCTTATTGCATTATTACAGCTCATTGTATTATTACAGCTCATTGTATTGTTACGGCTTATTGTATAATTACAGCTCATTGTATTATTACAGCTCAGTGTATTATTACAGCTCATCGTATTATTACAGCTCATTGTATTGTTACAGCTTATTGTATAATTACAGCTCATTGTATTATTACAGCTTATTGCATTATTACAGCTCATTGTATTATTACAGCTCAATTTATTATTACAGCTTATCATATTATTACAGCTCAATGTATTATTACTGCTTGTTTTATTATTACTGCTCAGTGTATCATTACAGCTCAGTGTATTATTCCAGCTCATTGTATTATTGCTGCTCAGTGTATTATTACAGCTCAGTATTATTACAGATTATTGTATGATTACAGCTCAGTGTATTATTCCAGCTCAGTGTATTATTACAGCTTATTGTATTATTACTGCTCAGTGTATTATTACAGCTCCTCGTATTATTACAGTCCGTATTATTACAGCTCATTGTATCATTACTGCTCAGTGTATTATTACAGCTCATTGTATTATTACAGCTCATTGTATTATTACAGCTCATCGTATTATTACAGTCTGTATTATTACAGCTCAATGTATTATTACTGCTCGGTGTATTATTACAGCTTATTGTATTTTTACAGCTCAATGTATTATTACTGCTCGGTGTATTATTACAGCTCATTGTATTATTACAGCTCAGTGTATTATTACAGCTCATCATATTATTACAGCTCATCGTATTATTACAGTCTGTATTATTACAGCTCAATGTGTTATTACTGCTCGGTGTATTATTACAGCTCATTGTATTATTACTGCTCAGTGAATTATTACAGCTCATTGTATTATTACAGCTCAGTGTATTATTACAGCTCATCGTATTATTACAGCTCATTGTATTATTACAGCTCAGTGTATTATTACAGCTCATCATATTATTACAGCTCATCGTATTATTACAGTCTGTATTATTACAGCTCAATGTGTTATTACTGCTCAGTGTATTATTACAGCTTATTGTACTATTACAGCTCATTGTATTATTACTGCTCAGTGAATTATTACAGCTCATTGTATTATTACAGCTCAGTGTATTATTACAGCTCATCGTATTATTACAGCTCAGTGTATTATTACAGCTCAGTGTATTATTACAGCTCATCGTATTATTACAGCTCATTGTATTATTACTGCTCAGCGAATTATTACAGCTCATTGTATTATTACAGCTCAGTGTATTATTACAGCTCATCGTATTATTACAGTCTGTATTATTACAGCTCAATGTATTATTACAGCTCGGTGTATTATTACAGCTTATTGTATTATTACAGCTCATTGTATTATTACTGCTCAGTGAATTATTACAGCTCATTGTATTATTACAGCTCAGTGTATTATTACAGCTCATCGTATTATTACAGCTCATTGTATTATTACTGCTCAGCGAATTATTACAGCTCATTGTATTATTACAGCTCATCGTATTATTACAGCTCATTGTATTATTACTGCTCAGCGAATTATTACAGCTCATTGTATTATTAGAGCTCAGTGTATTATTACAGCTCATCGTATTATTACAGTCTGTATTATTACAGCTCAATGTATTATTACTGCTCAGTGAATTATTACAGCTCATTGTATTATTACTGCTCAGTGAATTATTACAGCTCATTGTATTATTACAGCTCAGTGTATTATTACAGCTCATTGTATTATTACTGCTCAGCGAATTATTACAGCTCATTGTATTATTACAGCTCATTGTATTATTACTGCTCATCGTATTATTACAGCTTCTACAAAAGGAAAGAGAAAGAAAATAAGAAAAGAGACCAGGGAGCTGATACAGAGAAAACCTCCTAAACTGGGGGTAACCCCTATAACTGAACAGCAAAAGGAGAGGGAAAAAATAGGAGAATTTCTGTGTATCCTAAAATTGTGAAAAATCTGTATGAAAATTGGAAATATAACGTATACGTGGAAAGATACCTAACTCAGTCAGAATTAGACTGAACAAACAGATAAAACGTAGTCTTTATTAAAATTAAAGCTTAAAAAGTGGGATATCCAAAGAAAAATAAATCCCACAATACACAACACATCTTTTTTTCCCTCAAAATGCCAACACGGCAATTAAATACAGCCATTACACACACTGACAAACACACACTCACAGATATACACTGACACTTACAGACACACACACACACTCACTCACTGACACACACTCACTGACACACACTCACTGACAGACACAGAGTGACTGACAGACACACACACACTCACTGACACACACTCACTGTTAAGACACCTCCAGTGTCTTTAGGCAAAACCGCCGTTTAGTAGACCTTCCCCGGCTGCAGTACAGTCTCCGTTCGCTTAATCTGTAATACACGAACCAAATGCAGGGGAAGCGGCAATCTCCCGAACGAGATCCGTGAACGGCTCCAAACTCCCGAACGGCAATACACGAACTGCTGGCAACCGTCGAACAGCAATATTCACCAAGCGGCTTCCGTTCCATCCAGCAGTCTCTAAACGTGAAGAAGAAATCCCCCCAATAACGAGACAGAAGCTCCGCATTGAGGGTCAAACAGGATCTGGCTTTACTGTGGGCTACCTGCCCGTATTTATGCAGGTCTCCCACTTGGTGGACACTCCCCTAGGGGACCAAATGGGAGACTTAAATGACAGACAGATATGGGGACATTCCAGACACACAGTCACAGATTTTACCCACAGTGCATTATGATTCCCTCCCCTCTGCCCTGGAGTTAATTACCAAGTAACTCAATTAACTCCAGGACAAAGCCAGTCGCCATCTTAGACATAAAATAATAAAAGACATAAAAATATATAACTTCACAAAAACCGAACATTTCCCATTCGTATCACATATCCCCAGATAGCCTGGATCTGAGTGCATATTATTAGCGAATAGCGCTCAGATCCCACACACATAGTTCAATCGCCATGGAGTCAAAGTTCTTACAGTCTTTCGGTATACGAATGACTCCATGGGAAGGCTATCTGGGTTAAGTCTTTTCGTATGCTCTAAAACTCCCGAACGGCCGGTGTTCGCATGCTTTCGTGGAGGCAGCTAGGCGTTCCGTTGTTTCAGCGGTGTTCGGCAGAAAAAGTGTCCGTTTTTAGTTCCATAGAAATAGAGCCAAACACCGCTGGGCGTTCGCTTGATTTAAAATGGCCGCTGCCTCGTGGTCGACATACGAACGACGACCACCCTGAATTCGGTTTAATTGAGAAGTGTCTGCGGTTAACCACAACGTTCTAATTGGGATCACTACGTTAACCAGCAGCACACTCCTCTCTTGGGTGGCCGTTCGTTCGGCAGGTTTGTTCGGGAAAAAAGAGTCATTCGAATGGCTGGGCTATAGAAACCAGCCATTCATACGAACGGGAGACAAACAGACGAATGCAGTAAAAATCCAAGCAGACAGATGGTTCTGTCACACGGCTCCCTCCTTGTGGGACACTCCGGCAGACCCGGCTTGACCCTGTGGCGGGTCAACTTGGGGATGACCGGACTACGAGGTGAGGGAAACGTCTGTTTGTCGTGACAACCCATCTGCATTCCCGTTCAGCTTACCGGGTCTGTAGCTGATGGTAAAATTGTAGGGCTGTAGTGCCAAGCTCCATCTCAGCAGTCTCCCATTGTCTCCTGAGACCCGGTTAAGCCAAACGAGTGGGTTGTGATCAGTCACAAGGGAGAATTCCTGCCCATACAAATAGGGACTTAACTTTTTCAATGCCCAGACCAAGGCCAAACACTCCTTCTCCACTGCCGCATAACTCACTTCTCTGGGTAACAACTTTCTGCTGAGATATGCGACAGGGTGCTCTCCTCCATCTTCCCCGACTTGGCTCAGCACAGCCCCCAGTCCATACATGGAAGCATCTGTATGGACGAGAAAGCGTTTGTTAGGGACTGGGGCAGCCAAGACAGGGGCATTCACAAGAGCCTGCTTCAGTGCCTGGAACGCAGCTTCACAAGCCGGAGACCACAGGACCTGCTTAGGCAAGTTTTTCTTGGTCAGGTCTGTCAGGGGCTTAGCAATAGCGCTGTAGTCAGGGACAAAACGTCTATAGTACCCTGCCGTCCCCAAGAAGGCCAATACCTGGGTCTTAGTAGTAGGTGTGGGCCAGTTAGCCACTGCCTCTAACTTGGCTGGCTCTGGTCTCTGGCTCCCACACCCCACTCTGTGACCCAGGTATTGTACTTCAGCCATACCTAGATGGCACTTTTCTGGCTTCAATGTCAGGCCAGCGGCCCGAATTTTATCCAGCACTACCCCTACATGTACCAGGTGTTCCTCCCAGGACCCACTGTAAATCGCAATGTCGTCCAAGTATGCACAGGCAAATTCTTGGAAGCCATCCAGGAGTCTATCCACCATCCGTTGGAAGGTAGCCGGTGCATTTTTCATCCCAAAAGGCATGACCTTAAATTGGTACAGGCCAAATGGGGTGACAAATGCCGACTTGGGGATAGCATCCTCGGCCAGGGGGATCTGCCAGTAGCCCTTACACAGGTCTATGGTGGTCAGATATCGCCCCCTGGCAATACGATCCAGTAATTCGTCTACCCGGGGCATTGGGTAGGCGTCAGTGGTGGTCCGCTCGTTGAGTCGCCTGTAGTCCACACAGAACCGGGTGGTCCCATCTTTCTTGGGCACCAGGACTACAGGCGAGGCCCAAGGGCTGTCGGAGTGCTCGATGACCCCAAGTTGGGTCATCTCCTGTATCTCCTTCCGCTGGGGGCTGTCGTAACGGGGTCTGTCCAGGGGTCTCTACCTTATGCACAGCTAGGGTGGTATAACCTGGTTCCTGGGAGAACGTCGCCTGCTTCTCCCATAACAACTGTTGCGCCTGTGCCCTTTCTGTTGGGTTCAACCGGTCCCCTAGCTGTACCAAGGTAGTAAGGTCAGTCTGGGAATCCCTTTCTAATAGATCGGGAAGGGGTAAATTCTCAGAATCATCAGCAGCTGGGGCACATACTGCTGCAATATTCTCAGGTCTCTCCTGGTACTCTTTCAGCATGTTCACATGAAAGGACCGCTGGATCCTTTCATCTGCACAGCTGGCTATCAAGTAAGTAGTGTCGCAGATCTGCGCCACTACCTTGTACGGGCCCTGCCAAGATGCTTGCATCTTGTTGGCCTTCACAGGTTTGAGCACCAATACCTTTTTCCCAACCTGGAAGACCCGCTGTCGGGCACCCTGATCGTACCATCTTTTCTGTCTCCCCTGGGCCGCCTGGAGATTCTCCCTTACCATCAGGGACAGTTTCTCCATGCGGTCCCGGAGTTCCAGAACATATGGCACTATGGGGGTCCCCTCTTGCTCCGTCTCCCCCTCCCAGTGGCCTCTAATGAGATCTAGGGGTCCGCGGACCCTTCTCCCATACAGCAGCTCAAAGGGGGAGAACCCAGTAGATTCCTGGGGCACCTCTCTATAAGAAAATAATAGATGAGGCAGGAATCTCTCCCAGTCTCTGCAAGTGTCTGTAAAGGTCCTCAGCATCTGTTTGAGGGTACCGTTAAAGCGCTCGCAGAGACCGTTAGTCTGTGGGTGGTAGGGTGAGCTAAGTAACGGCTTAATGCCACACACCTTCCACAGCTGCTGGGTGAGCACAGCGGTGAATTGGGTTCCCTGGTCGGAGAGAATCTCCTTAGGAAACCCGACCCTAGTAAAAATTCTAACCAGGGCATCAGCAACCGTCTCTGCCTCTATGTTAGACAGCGCTACTGCCTGTGGATAGTGAGTGGCATAGTCCACCACGGTAAGAACGTATTTCTTACCTGATGGACTAGCCCTGGCCAGTGGACCCACGATGTCAACGGCTATGTGGGCAAAGGGCTCCCCTATAATAGGCATCGATAACAGCCTAGCCTTAGGGTGGTCCCCCCGCTTCCCTACCCGTTGACAGGTGTCACACGTACTGCAATACATCCGCACAGCCTGGTTAAAGTTTGGCCAAAATAAATTCTGTGCGATCCTATAGGCTGTGCGGCGGGACCCTAGATGTCCAGCTAACGGAACATCATGCCCTATCCGCAGAATCTCCTGCCGGTACTTGGCAGGTACCACTAACTGGCGATTCGGCGGAGGGGCAACACTCTTCTGGGAAGGCTTAGGGATCCTATATAACCTGTCCCCCACCCACTCATACCGTTCCCCATCTATTCCTTCCTCTCCAGCATCTGCCCTGTCTTTGTACTTTTGGAGGGTCGGATCTGCCCGGGTTTCCCTCCCAAACTCCTCTGGGGAATCCCAGCTTAAGGGGACCTGATCTGGGGTACCAGTCGGGGAAGGAGATCTTACCTGGGTCTCATCAGCAGGTGGGCTGGTTCCGGCAGCACGGGTCTGGGCACGGGTGGTCACTGGGTTCACATCTGCAGGGCCCATCGGAGCATAGGCTGAAACCAAAGGGGCCAAATCGTTTCCCAGAAGAACATCTGCGGGCAAGTCTTTCATCACCCCCACATCCACATGTCTAGCGCCCACTCCCCAATCCAAATGTACCCGGGCAACAGGTAAGCGAAACACAGCACCCCCTGCTACCCTTACTGCCACAGTGTCCCCAGTGTGCTGATGCTCTGAGACCAAGTTCTTTTGGAGTAGTGTCATCGTGGCTCCTGTGTCTCTCAACCCATTTACCACTCTGCCATTCAGCTTCACGGTTTGCTGATGTTGCTGGCGATTATCCTGGTGAGCTGCTTGCACTGGGTCTGCCTCGTGTAGGATGCCCCAGAACTCCTCCTGCTCTATGCAGTGAGCAGCAGGCTGAGGTGGCCGCTGGTTCCCATTGACTGGTCTCCTCCAGGACTGAGCTTGGTTGGCACTGTTCAGTGGGCACTCAGGACGCTTGTGCCCCAACTGCTTGCACCCAAAGCACCGGATGGGTTGGGAATAATCACGGGCATTAAATCGCGATGGCTGTACAAAATTGTTAGCTGGCGGTGCAGCTGGGTTACGGTGTACTGGGGGTTGGTAGACTGAAGGAGCGGGTATTACTGCTGGTCGATACTCCAGTCTGGCAGGGGCTTTGGCAGCTGTACCATCCAACTTGCGGGCATCCGTGTATTCGTCTGCCAGACGAGCAGCCTCGGGTAGGGTAGAGGGTTTTCTATCTCTGACCCACTCCCGGACCTCAGCAGGTAGTCTATCAAAGCAGTGTTCCAGCAGGAACACTTGTAACACCTCCTCCCCAGTTACCGCTTGGCATCCTGCCATCCAGTGGGCTGCGGTACGATGGACTCTGCAGGCCCACTCCACATAAGAGTCCCCAACCAGCTTGTTGGTTTCTCTAAACCTCCGCCTGTACGCTTCTGGGGTCACTGCATACCTGGCTAGGAGTGCATCTTTCACAGCCCGGTAGCTGGTGATCTCCTCCTCTGGGATGGCCCGAAACGCCTCACTAGCCCGGCCAGATAATTTCCCAGAGAGGATGGTGACCCATTCATCTGCAGGTACCTGATGTAGAGCACACTGCCTCTCGAAGTCCGCTAGGAACCCATCAATCTCTCCCTCGGTTTCCACAAAATTTTTAAATGCAGCAAAAGGTACCTTCTTTCTAGCAAAAACATTATTATTGTAGGGTACCTCTGCTGCTGCAGCTCCTCTTTCCCGGAGCGCCTGTTGTGCTGCTACTGCTGCCTGCACACGCTCCACGATGTCAGCTGAGGGGTTGGGGCCAAAATGTGCCAGCCTTATTTGCACTGCCCGGTTAAATTGTAATTCCTCGGGTGTTAAATCCAAGGTACTGGGCACGTTGACTCTCTCCATTCCCGTTGCTGTATCCATCTCCAGTAGCAAAGCAATAATCTCCTGTTTCTTTAAATTGCTTGCTGACCTTCCTCGGCGTTCCAATATATCCTTAAGTGTAGCACGCCTTAATTCCTCGTACTGCATGTCTTGTAGCTGACCTCCAATGCTGTGGGATTCATCCCGTCGCTTGCCACCAATTGTTAAGACACCTCCAGTGTCTTTAGGCAAAACCGCCGTTTAGTAGACCTTCCCCGGCTGCAGTACAGTCTCCGTTCGCTTAATCTGTAATACACGAACCAAATGCAGGGGAAGCGGCAATCTCCCGAACGAGATCCGTGAACGGCTCCAAACTCCCGAACGGCAATACACGAACTGCTGGCAACCGTCGAACAGCAATATTCACCAAGCGGCTTTCGTTCCATCCAGCAGTCTCTAAACGTGAAGAAGAAATCCCCCCAATAACGAGACGGAAGCTCCACATTGAGGGTCAAACAGGATCTGGCTTTACTGTGGGCTACCTGCCCGTATTTATGCAGGTCTCCCACCTGGTGGACACTCCCCTAGGGGACCAAATGGAAGACTTAAATGACAGACAGATATGGGGACATTCCAGACACACAGTCACAGATTTTACCCACAGTGCATTATGATTCCCTCCCCTCTGCCCTGGAGTTAATTACCAAGTAACTCAATTAACTCCAGGACAAAGCCAGTCGCCATCTTAGACATAAAATAATAAAAGACATAAAAATATATAACTACACAAAAACCGAACATTTCCCATTCGTATCACCTATCCCCAGATAGCCTGGATCTGAGTGCATATTATTAGCGAATAGCGCTCAGATCCCACACACATAGTTCAATCGCCATGGAGTCAAAGTTCTTACAGTCTTTCGGTATACGAATGACTCCATGGGAAGGCTATCTGGGTTAAGTCTTTTCGTATGCTCTAAATCTCCCGAACGGCCGGTGTTCGCATGCTTTCGTGGAGGCAGCTAGGCGTTCCGTTGTTTCAGCGGTGTTCGGCAGAAAAAGTGTCCGTTTTTAGTTCCATAGAAATAGAGCCAAACACCGCTGGGCGTTCGCTTGATTTAAAATGGCCGCTGCCTCGTGGTCGACATACGAACGACGACCACCCTGAATTCGGTTTAATTGAGAAGTGTCTGCGGTTAACCACAACGTTCTAATTGGGATCACTACGTTAACCAGCAGCACACTCCTCTCTTGGGTGGCCGTTCGTTCGGCAGGTTTGTTCGGGAAAAAAGAGTCATTCGAATGGCTGGGCTATAGAAACCAGCCATTCATACGAACGGGAGACAAACAGACGAATGCAGTAAAAATCCAAGCAGACAGATGGTTCTGTCACACTCACAGACATACACACACACACACACACACAGACAGATATATACACACCCCCTCACTGACAGACATACATACACAGAGTGACTGACAGACACACACACCCTCATTGACAGACATACATACACAGAGTGACTGACAGAGACACACAAACTCACAGGCACAAATACACAGAGTGACTGACAGACAGACACACACACACACTGACATACATACACACACACACAACTTACTATTATATTTTTTTTAAATTTAATCTAACTCCACCCAGTCTCCGCGTGAGAACTGGAGTGGATTCCTCACCTGGGGTCCAGTGGAGCTGCAGGGGCTGCTTGTGCTGCTGGACAGGGAGGCAGGGGGCGAATTGGCAGAGTAGGTGGCAAGGGAGCTCTGATCTTCCTGCTCAGCTCCCTTACACGTTGGTTAGTGATGTCAGGAGCCGGTGTGACGTCATATTCCCTCGCTGCCCAACCGCAAATCAAGCTGCCGCCTGCCTCGAGGGGTGTCCAAAGGTGGCCAGCCTTGGGCCCTCCAGGACACGAGATTAACAAGGCATCCACTGAGGCGTTTAGAGTAGCTTTTTTTGCCCCCAGGATAGTGCCGCCCTAGGCAAATGCCTTGTTAGCCTTGCAGTAAATACACAGCTGGGCACCCTACCAGTGACCTATGGCTGCGTGTCCACAGAGAGGGGTCAGCGTCCCAGCTGTGTCCTGCGTGCCATAGGTTCCCCATCGATGATTTAGAGGTATGTGTGGCGGGACCAATACCTGTCAGTGAATTGTCTTTATACTATTGCCTGTATTTCCCCATGTATTTGTGACTATTCGTGTGTTTGCCAGCTCTCTGTTTGGGGGAACTATACGAACGGAACTCGTTCGTCTTCCATACGTGGACCGCCCTAATACCTCATTTAGAATGTTGATTTAAAACGTTCACACCTTGACCTGCTTCCAAAGCCGCACGGGAAGCCTTTGCGCGTGTCTCCCCTGAGTGGCCTCCCTTTCGTATCACTGGCCACCATCCAGGGGGAGCATCCGTGAACTGCTTCCCTCCTCGTTCATGTCCCGAACATACCCCATTAGTTTCCCGAACGAAGACCTCCCAAGGTCCATTGAAATGTTCACACCAACCAATTAGAACATTCCCCAAGTTGCAACATAAGTGCAAAACCAAAATAACACTTTGCAATCAGTGTGAAACCGCAAAGGAGGTAATTAATGAGTGCTTCCCTGGGTAGCTGCCGTTCGTATAAACGGGCACTGACCAGGGGGAGCATTCGTATCCCGAAAAGAGACACTTCCCTTGCCTGGTTTTACACAGGGACCTAGCAAATGGGGACTGTTCGCAACAGGTACCATTGTGGAGGTCCCTGGGGTCTGTGTGGACATCCTTTGGGGACAATGGCAGGTCTGGTGGGCTTTTTGTGCCTAGGAGCCCTGGAGGCAGGAGTCTTTCCCGCACTGGGACTCCCAGGTATAGAGGCTCTTGGGAAGAAGACCCTGAATGGCAGGAATTCTGTGCCTGCGAGACAAAAGGAAAATGACCCCCCTCTCCTGTGCTTTGTCCCCGGGCATAAAGGATTACAGAAAGAAGACCCCCTGTCACCAGGGCCGGACTGGCCCACCGGGATACCGGGAAACTTCCCGGTGGGCCGCGGCACCTGGGGCTGGGCTGACAGCCCTAATCAGTGATCAGGCTCCTGTAATCCCGGCCGGCCATGTGCGAGCTGTGGGAGCAGGGGGAGCCAGGCAACCGGCACAGCTCACACATGGCTGGCCGGAATTTAAAATAAAAAATAAAAAAAATTAAAATAATAATATTGCGGCTGGGGCGAAGCTTAGGGTGCGGCGGGTGCGGAGCTTACTGTGCGGCGGGGGAACTGGTAATTGCAGCATGGGAAGGAGTCCCTGCTTCCCCACCAACCAGTCTCCAGGAGCTCCAAGGGATGTGGAGGTAAGAAGCAGGTCAGTGTGTGTGTGTGTGACTGCCTGTGTGTATGTGTGTGACTGTGTATGTGACTGTGTGTGTGTGACTGTCTGCCTGTGTGTGTGTGTGTTTGACTGTCTGCCTGTCTCTGTGTGTGTGGACGTCTGGTCTGCCTCTGTGTCAGTGACTGTCTGCCTCTGACACACATGTCTTTGTGTGTGTGCATCTGCTAGTGAGTGAGCGAGCTTCTGTGTGTGTGTGTGTGTGTGCGCGCATCTGCTAGTGAGGGAGCTTCTGTGTGTGTGCGCCTGCTAGTGAGTTTGTGTGTGTGTGCCTGCTAGTGAGTGAGCTTGTATGTGTGTCAGTGAGCTTGTCTGTAGGGATCACATGTGTGTGTGCGTGTTAGTGAGCTTGTCTGTAGGGAGCATGGGTGTGTCTGAGCCTGCCTGTGGTGAGCATGTGTGTCAGTGAGATTGTCTGTAGTGAGCTCTACTATATGAAATGGCAGCACTCACGGTCTTCACTTAAAATCTTCTTTTTTTTGCAAGATTAAAACATGGATCAACGTTTCAGTCCTTAAGTGGGACTATCATGTCATATTGATCCTGAATAAAGTCCCACTTAGGGACTGAAACGTTGATCCATGTTTTAATCTTGCAAAAAAAAGAAGATTTTAAGTGAAGACCGTGAGTGCTGCCGTTTCTTTTATAATCTGGATACCAAAGTCCCAGGCTTAAGCACCTATCAAGTATATACCACTGGAGCCTGTGTGCAACGATTTCCCCAGTATTTATATATATATAAAACACACCCTACATCGCACACTGACTTATGGGGCTGGCATAGATTTTTTCCAAGGCTGCTTCATATCCCCAGTCCGGCCCTGCCTGTCACCGGAAGTTGGAAGACCTGTGTTTGGATGGCGGGAGTAAGGGACAAAGGACCATAGTTCCTGTCCCGCACTGGAAACCATGGGAGGGGGAGGATCCTGGGAGGAGACAATGTCCTTGTGTGGTGTCCACCCTTTGCATGGGGGAAAAGTATAAAGCCGAGTGTGGCCAATAAAGTTGTTGTTGTACCCGGTGGAACTGTGTATCGTCCAGTTACTGGGGGGATGGGGAGGGGACAGAATGGGATTCTATATGTTTTAACGATTTCCTCTTAAGTGACAGAAGTGACTCACTGAAGATAACCGTTCGGGTTACCCCCGGCTCGCTATAGCATGTATATCTAAAACCTCTAGAAAATCAAGTGAAATTCTAGCATAAACAGACAGACGCTGCAACCACATTTAGACTTGAATACGGTGCAAAGTAGAACTGGACAATGTAAGGTGCAACAATGTTTCAATAGGAAATAACACGATAGGAGCTGATACAAGTAGGGAGTGATATAGGATAAAGCAAGAAATCTTATACAATAACCGCTTACATCTCCTAAAGTACCGGCTACTAAAGTATCCCTATTGTAATGATTAACCCAACATGCAGAAGGAAAACTCACCAGGTGTGTGGGTGCTGTATGTTTGGAGGGATTGTGAAGGTGGGGGCAGATTAGTAAATCTGCGGGGCTAGAGTTCACTCTCGCGAGATCTGAGCGTTGCCGTGGCAATGCCCAGATCTCGCGAGAGGAACCTGGTGGAGCTTCTGTCTAGAGCTCCCCGGGTCCTCTCCTGCCTCCCTCCATGCTGCTGTGAGGTAGATCTTTGATCTCCCTGCCGGCCCATGGAGGCTTAGAGCTCCCCTGGCGGGAGGGGTCAAGTCCTGGGGAATAAAGGGTGGGAACTCTCCCAAGATTCCCACCCCCCCAAAAAAATGATATGCACTTGTGTATATATACGTGCACACTTACACACATACACAGACACACACATATATATACACGCGTACACACACATACACTCACAGACACACACACATACATTTACAGACACACACATACATTCAGACACACATACACACACACACTTACAGACACACACATACTCAGACACACAGACACATACATTCACAGACACACACATACATTAACAGACACACATACACACACACACACTTACACACATACACACACTTTCAGACACACACACACATACTCAGACACTCACAGACACACACACACACCCTCACAAATAAAAAATTTTAAATAAAAAAATGTCCACCCAGCCTCCCTACCTGGAGAGCTGGCGTGGACTTATCCCTGGGGTCCAGTGGGTCGGGCGCCTGTCTCCATCTCAGACGCGGCGAGGGAGCTGTGTGCTCTCTGCTCCCTCTCGCCGTGCGCCGTTTGCTGATGGCGGGAGCCGGAATAGGACGTCATATTCCGGCTCCTAGCTACAGCAGACAGCCCGCGCGGCAAGAGGGAGCAGAGAGCACACAGCTCCCTCGCTGCGTCTGAGATGGAGACAGGTGCCCGATGGGGGGTATCACCTCTTGGCGTCCCCCCAGTGACAGGGGGAACACGGGGAGGAGGAGGGCATTTGGGGGCGCACCCCGTGCGCACGCCTATGGTAACAGGGTTGATGTTCCAGGAGGGATAAGCCAAATGGCAAATATTTAGGTAAACTAGAAAAATGGTCAGAGTTGTGGCAACTGACATTTAATGTAGATAAGTGCAAGATAATGCATCTTGGACGTAAAAACCCAAGGGCAGAGTACAGAATATTTGATAGAGTCCTAACCTCAACATCTGAGTGAAGGGATTTATCATGCATGGAATAGCCTTCCAGCTGAAGTGGTAGAGGTTAACACAGTAAAGGAGTTTAAGCATGCGTGGGATAGGCATAAAGCTATCCTAACTATAAGACAAGGCCAGGGACTAATGAAAGTATTTAGAAAATTGGGCAAACTAGATGGGCCAAATGGTTCTGATCTGCCGTCACATTCTATGTTTCTGTGTCTCCAATATCGCATGCCCAACAAGGAATCAGGTTTGCTGGCCTTTATGTCACCTTTCTGGTATAACCAGATTCCAACCGATAATCTCCTAAATCATTGCCTGATCTGGGGATCCTCTCAGCATTACATACAAACACTGCGTCCTCTACGTACACACAAACACTGCGTCCACTATACAGACACTGCATCCACTATACAAACACTGCGTTCACTATACACACACAAACAAACACTGCGTCCACTATCCGTCCACTATACGTACACTATACAAACACTGCGTCCACTATACAGACACTGCATCCACTATACAAACACTGCGTTCACTATACACACACAAACAAACACTGCGTCCACTATACACAAACATTGCGTCCACTATACACACACACAAACACTGCGTCTACTATACAAACACTGCGTCCACTATACACAAACACTACGTTCACTATACACACACACACAAACACTGCATTCACTATACACACACACACACAAACACTGCGTTCACTATGCACACACTGCGTTCACTATACACACATAAACACTGCGTTCACTATACACACACTGCGTTCACTATATACACACTGCGTTCACTATACACACACTGCGTTCACTATACACACACACACACACAAACACTGTGTTCACTATGCACACACTGCGTTCACTATACATACACACAAACACTGCGTTCACTATACACACACTGCGTTCACTATACACACACTGCGTCCACTATATACACAAACACTGCGTCCACTATACACACACACAAACACTGCGTCCACTATACAAACACTGCGTCCACTATACACAAACACTGCGTTCACTATACACACACACACAAACACTGCATTCACTATACACACACACACACAAACACTGCGTTCACTATGCACACACTGCGTTCACTATACACACATAAACACTGCGTTCACTATACACACACTGCGTTCACTATATACACACTGCGTTCACTATACACACACACACACAAACACTGTGTTCACTATGCACACACTGCGTTCACTATACACACACACACACAAACACTGTGTTCACTATACACACACTGCGTTCACTATACACACACTGCGTCCACTATATACACAAACACTGCGTCCACTAAACACAAACACTGCGTCCACTATAGACACACACAAAAACTGCATCCACTACACACACACACACACCTCCTTTCTGATACACACACTACATCCCTTACACACACTGGATTCTCTATACTACACATTCACTACATTCCCTAAACACACCCATTACATCCACTACAAACACACACTTCATTACCTACCATAGTCCAAATTTAAATTCAGCTGAATTTCGGCAATTCAGACATTTGAATACTTCCGAATGTTCGAATTTCGGAAGTGCCGAATTTTGGAAGTGCCAAAGCGAACAGAATTGCAGAAGTGCCGAAATTCGGAAGTGTCGAAGTGCTTCGAATTTCTGAAAAGCGGCAAAGCAGGAGAGGGAGGGAAAATTAAGGGAATGATGACAGGAATCTAACCCTACTTCTAACCCTATCCCTAAACCCACCCCTACCCCTAACTCCACCCACACTAGGGTTAGGGGTATGGTTAGGGGTAGAGGAAGGTTGGGGTTATGGGTAAGGGCTGGGGTAGGAGTTAGGGGTGGGGTTAGGGTTAGGAGTTAGGGGTAGGGTTGGGTTAGGGGTGGAGTTAGGTTGTGGTAGGAGTTAGGGGTAGGGTTAGGGGAAGGGTTAGCGGTGGGGTTAGGAGTTAGGTGTGGGGTTAGGAGTTAGGGGTGGGGTTGGGGTAGGGTTGGGGCTTGGGTAGGGTAAGGGCTGGGGTTAGGGTTGGGTTAGGGGTGGAGTTAGGGGTAGGGTTATGTGTTAGGGGTAGGGTTAGGAGTAGAGTTAGGGGTGGGGTAAGGTTAGGGAACTGCCAAAGTCCCAAATTCCCGAATTTCGGAAATTCCGAACCTAACAGAAGTGCCGAATTGCTGAAGTCCCAAATTTCAGAAGTGCTGAACCGAAGTGCCGAAGTCCTGAATTGCCGAAGTCCCGAATTTCGGAAGTCCCAACCGAACCAAATTTTTTGCCCATGCACATCCCTACTAAGTGCCTGTTATATGGTGGTGGAATGGGTGGCGGGCCCTTTAGGTGTACTTGGGGCCAGCCCTGTGGGAAGACTCAGGGGAGATGGGGACGCTCGGGGCCCAGGCCTTAAGCTGTGTAAGGGGCCCATATCTCTGTGATGGCAGCCCTGATTGTACATATTTCTATATATATGTGTGTGTGATTGTATTTATTTATGTGTTTGCATATATTTATATATTTGTGAATTTAGATTTTTATATATATGTGTTTGCATGTAGTTATATGCGTATGTTTGTGTATATGCACATATGTGTGTTTCTACGGAATCTGATGGTGCTATATAAATAATATAATAATAATAATAATATAATATATGTGTGTTTGTTTATAGTTATATATGTTTGTGGGGTTGTATTATTGATATATTGAGATAGCCTGAGGACTTCATCCAGCGAGACAGTCCCAATTTGAATCTTATTTCAGGTCGAGAGGTGTCTGCTTCTGGGGATGTAAGAGACATGAAAAAAACTGATTGGGCCCACCATTCAATGTTGCCATGGATGCGTGATGTCATGGCAGCGATGGTGGGTAGCGTGATGTCATCGCAGCATTGGTTAATGGGTAGCATGATGTCATGGCAACATTGGTTGGTAGATAGTATGATGCCATAGCAGCGTTGGTTGGTGGGTAGCGTGATGTCATGGGAACGTTGGTTGGTGGGTAGCGTGATGTCATGGGAACGTTGGTTGGTGGGTAGCGTGATGTCATGGGAACGTTGGTTGGTGGGTAGCGTGATGTCATGGGAACGTTGGTTGGGGCTGTGCGTTGTATGGTTGGCTTCTCACACCAGCCGCCTGCCTTTATAGTATATAGCGGTGCTGTGCAAATTGACGACAGTTAGCAGAAACAGTCTATTGGTTTCCATGGTGATTGTCAAAGGTTTTTCTTCATAATTGCCCCATGGGGCATTCTCTGTCTATGACTGGATGCCCATAGGTTGCGTATTTCCATATTTATAAATGGATAAATATGGGATCGCAGGCTCTGCTCATTATTCTTAGCTCCTGGGTCACGCCGATGCCTGTAAGGAGTCACTTTACAGGCAGTCTCTGCTCACTGCAAGGAGGGGCCAGACAGAACCCAAAATGCCCAGGGGGGGTGAGAATAGCTCCACCCTGGGAGAGTGACATCAAATCTCAGCACCTTTCTTCTGTTTTATATAAAGGCAGCTCGGCTTAGAAAGGTTACCCAATTCCTAGATTCCCAGGGCCAGGGAAATGACCTGCCTTCACCCCCTCTACACAAGGTATGGCTTATACAGAGAGTTAGTGTGAGTAAAGTCCTGTGTGTTATACAGAGAGTTAGTGTGAGTAAAGTCCTGTGTGTTATACAGAGAGTTAGTGTCAGTGAAGTCCTGTGTCTTATACAGAGAGTTAGTGTGAGTGAAGTCCTCTGTGTGATACAGAGAGTTAGTGTCAGTGAAGTCCTGTGTGTTATACAGAGAGTTAGTGTCAGTGAAGTCCTGTGTGTTATACAGAGTTAGTGTGAGAAGTCCTGTGTGTTATACAGAGTTAGTGTGAGTGTGTGAAGTCCTGTGTGTTATACAGAGAGTAAGTGTGAGTGTGTGTGAAAACCTGTGTGTTATACAGAGAGTTAGTGTGAGTGTGTGTGAAGACCTGTGTGTTATACAGAGAGTTAGTGTGAGTGTGTGAAGTCCTGTGTGTTATACAGAGAGTTAGTGTGAGTGGTGTCCTGTGTGTTATACAGAGAGTTAGTGTGAGTGTGTGAAGTCCTGTGTGTTATACAGAGAGTTAGTGTGAGTGTGTGTGAAGACCTGTGTGTTATACAGAGAGTTAGTGTGAGTGTGTGAAGTCCTGTGTGTTATACAGAGAGTTAGTGTGAGTGGTGTCCTGTGTGTTATACAGAGAGTTAGTGTGAGTGTGTGAAGTCCTGTGTGTTATACAGAGAGTTAGTGTGAGTGTGTGTGAAGACCTGTGTGTTATACAGAGAGTTAGTGTGAGTGTGTGAAGTCCTGTGTGTTATACAGAGAGTTAGTGTGAGTGTGTGAAGTCCTGTGTGTTATGCAGAGAGTTAGTGTGAGTGTGTGTGAAATCGCGTGTGTTATACAGAGAGTTAGTGTGAGTGCGTGTGTTATACAGAGAGTTAGTGTGAGTGTGTGAAGTCCTGTGTGTTATGCAGAGAGTTAGTGTGAGTGTGTGTGAAGTCCTGTGTGTTATACAGAGAGTTAGTGTGAGTGTGTGAAGTCCTGTGTGTTATGCAGAGAGTTAGTGTGAGTGTGTGTGAAGTCGCGTGTGTTATACAGAGAGTTAGTGTGAGTGCGTGTGTTATACAGAGAGTTAGTGTGAGTGTGTTATACAGAGAGTTAGTGTGAGTGCGTGTGTTATACAGAGAGTTGGTGTGAGTGTGTGTTATACAGAGAGTTAGTGTGAGTGCGTGTGTTATACAGAGAGTTAGTGTGAGTGTGTGTGTTATACAGAGAGTTGGTGTGAGTGTGTGTGTTATACAGAGAGTTAGTGTGAGTGCGTGTGTTATACAGAGAGTTAGTGTGAGTGTGTGTGTTATACAGAGAGTTGGTGTGAGTGTGTTATAGAGAGTTCAGTAATTTGAGGGGTTGGTAGTTTGTGCTAATGTATCTGAAGTTCTGTATTTAGAATGTACAGTAACCAATGGAATCATTGATAGATTTTGTAAAACTAGAGAAATGTCTCTGTATTTGCCGGAAAGCGGTTTTACCAAAATGGAGCCAGTACAAAGCTGAGGCACTCACTGGGTATTACGTTATAAGAAGTATAAAGGGGGGGAGGGGAGGGGTAGATTAATAATGGATAGAGTTTAATTAATATCAAGAAATGAGGAATTATCCTGCATGACTGGAGCAGCTGAGTCTAATATGACTAAAAGTTAATATTTGGCTTCCACACAGACTGATTTAGGAAAATAGCTGCCTTTTAGTTTGGTTTTCGTGTTACCCTGAGTTGTGCGATTAACTCGTATTGTTGTTGGTTCCTTTTTTTCTTTACAGATTAAATAATGTGAGAATTATTGGATAATGGCAGATTGTGTACCGGGGAGTGGAAGAAGGATCTGGTATATTGACGTCGCTGCTTATTTATATAAACTGCAATGTCTGCCCTGATCAGCAGGTAGGATAGGCAGCAATGGGTTAAATCCTCGGACTCTCATAACCAGGCATTGTCTGAGCTTTGTAAAGAATAATCCTCTGAGATATGCCAAGAGCGAATAAAACTAAACAATACAGGATTCATTTACTAAATGGTCACAGGATGTGAACTAATAGCAGGTAACAGACAGCAGGTAACAGACAGCAGGTAACAGACAGCAGGTAACAGAGAGCAGGTAACAGAAAGCAGGTAACAGAGAGCTGGTAACAGACAGCAGGTAACAGAGAGCAGGTAACAGAGAGCAGGTAACAGACAGCAGGTAACAGTGAGCAGGTAACAGAGAGCAAGTAACAGAGAGTACTAACAGAGAGCAGGTAACAGACAGCAGGTAACAGAGACCAGGTAACAGACATCAGGTAACAGACAGCAGTTGTCTACTACGCCCCCCCCCCCATCTGTCTGCCTGTCTTTGTCGAATACCCTCGCTCTCTATCTGCCTTTGTCTAATACCCTCGCTATCTGTCTGTCTTTGTCTAATACCCTCCCTATCTGTATGTCTTTGTCTAATACCCTCGCCATCTGTCTTTGTCTAATACCTTCCCTATCTGTCTGTCTTTGTCAAATACCCTCGCTATCTGTCTTTGTCTATTACCCTCACTATCTGTCTTTGTCCAATACCCTCGCTATCCATCTGTGTTTGTTCAATACCCTCGCTATCTGTCTTTGTCTAATACCCTCACTATCTGTATGTCTTTGTTTAATACCCTTGCTGTAACAGATCCCCTGTTCCTAAATGTAATGGAGCTGCCAAAGACCGCTACCGAGCTGGAACAGGGGACAAACCACAGCACTTCTGCCCACAGTCGCCGTGGCTTGACTGGGGTCCTGGAACCGCTCCCTCCTGAAGAATTCGCTGAGCGACATTCAGTCCTGGACTTTCCCCATTGAATCCTCCACACTGGAACACATAGTTCTGGGAGTGCAAGCCGAAATACATTTATTGGCAACCACAACTGTTGTCTACCACAACAGCAACTGCCTTATATGCAGTTCTCCATGCAAGGGGCACTCCCTCCTGGACCTGAGAGTAGACTACAGTAAAAACATACACATGATTACATTGGCTCTCAGGTCCAGGACACTCCCATACAAAACAAGATAATCCCTCCCCTGTGCCTGGGAGATAATTGAGTCAAGCACTGTATTAACTCAATTATCTCCAGGTACACCAAACACCCCAAAAGTACCTTAAAAATACATAAAACCCAACAAAGTTACATCCCCTGATAGCCCCGATCTGAGTGACAAACATATCCAAAAATCACCCAGATCGGTTCAGGGATTCAGGAATTTCCTGGAAGTCATAATTTGACCGAGGGCACACATGGTCCCATGCCCAAAACAGTTCCAGAGAAGCAGGGCTTGCGGTCGGTCTAGTTCGGTAGTTTAATAACCGAACAAACTACCGAACATAGTCAATGTTCTTACCCTGGAGCTTGTTTCCCTTGTTCGTGGGAACGTTTCCACCGAACAAAGTCTTTCTAAGTGTTGTAGAACCAAACGCGGGCGATCATGGAAGTCCAACGGTGTTCGGGGGTTTCAGTGTCCAAAAATAGTTCCATGAACTGAACGACCAAACACCGCTAACTGTGTTCATGCGAACAAGATGGCCGTCACCCCGTGGTCATCCATAGAAAATGCAGCCACCCAGATGAACACTTAAACCAGTGGCCTCCGGTTCGTGCGGCTGTTCGGTTCCTGAACCATATAGTCCAAATACACGAACGGAGACTTTTAATTACATTTTACCGGGTCCATAGTCTGTGGCCAGGAGGCTGGCAAGCGGGCTCCTCCAGGAACTTGTGACAAACTCACTTGGAAAGGGGAGTTTGTCACACTAAATTACTAATTTTCATTGACTGGATCGGTATACAAACCTCACCGAACAGATTGCCCTATTTGGTTCATATACTGAATAAAGTACCGAACACATGGATCAACCAGAACAGCCGTGTGCCACTCGTTAACCCACTTGACCTCACTAACACTTTCACAAACTGCAATCACTTCAACATTCTAAGTGGTCGGCTGTCGTTCAGATGGACAAACACGAGGCGGCAGCCATATTGGTTTTCGAACCCACCCAGTGGTGTTTGGTCGTGGAGTGTATGGAACTATTATCGGACTTCCTCCTATGTTCGTTTCCATTCGTCTGGGAGGTGCGGCGTTCGGTGGGAGCAAACTCCTGAACAAGATACACGGTGTAAGCGTACGCACGAACAGTTTATTCGCATACATTGTTATATTTCATACTCCCAAAAGAGACCGACCGCACAGGCTGAACTCATGGAACTCTTTTGGACAGGCGCCTTGTGTGCAGTCAGTCTAAACTATAAACCAGTGGTGATTCGGCTACGTTCGTGAGATCTGAGCGCTTTTCGAATACATTGGGCGCTCAGATCTAGGCTATCCGGGGATATAGTACTTGAGGGGGTACCTCACTGTTAAAGGGGTGTTTTGATGGTTATTCCTGTACATGTCCTGGACCTGAGAGTTAATATAATTATGTTGTGTACTTTGTGTCTATCCCCTCGCAGGTCCAGTGGGGAATGCCCCTGAAATGTGTTATTGTAGACCCCTTGCCTGGGGATTCACATGAAAGGCCATCAACATAGAAACTCGTCTCGTGATTGTAGGGAACAGCTATACCTGCTTTATTACCGCTTGGACATCTACTTGGGAATGATACAGCACTACTCACACTAGGGGGAAAAGACATCTCTGGCGTCAGAAACCCCTCTTCTCTCGGGGTGGCCGCCACACTCGCTACCTGCCTGTCTTTGTCTAATACCCTCCCTATCTGTTTTTGTCTAATACCCTCCCTATTTGTCTGTCTTTGTCGAATACCCTCGCTATCTGTCTGTTTGTTGTATCATTGCTATTTGTCTGTCTGTCTTGCATGCTCCCTATCAGTCTGTCTTTTTCTACAACTACCTGTCTCCCAATTATATGTCACCCCCCATGAAATGCTGGTTTAGTGAAGTACATGGACATTAAATGCAATGCGAGGATGGCCAAACACAAAGCGCCTAGTGAATAGTTACAAATGGACTTTCTTGCATCCAATTTAAACAAAATTCTGTTTCAACACAAATTACATGATCTTCAAGGTACCAGCAGGATGTGTTGGTCATTGACTGGTGCTGTCCAGCTGTACCCGTGCCTGGCCATGTTTCACCTGAAGCGCTGTAGGAGCGGCCAGATCCCCTGAGTTCGTCTTATTGGGTTCTTGTCTTTGGTCTCCCTAGAAGTAGGAAATCAGATAGTAAATCTGCAATGGAGGGCGAGTAACGTCTTACATCTGGTCTTAGACTGTCATTCTCAGTCAGATCCCCAGAGGGATTAGACCGCACATAGGGCTTTTATTGCTAATGATAATTTAATCTCTGTCTCTTCCAATCTGCCTGTCTCTTGTCTAAAGTTTCTCCAATCTTACATTGTATTTTTCCTGTATTTTGTTGTCCGTTACAGAATATCCTCTACGACCATTTGCTCCACATGCTGGGTTATTTAACGAGATCCTCTCCTCGGAAATACACAATATTTAGATTAAAATATATATATTTTCCTGTGAAGTTTTGTTTTGAGACGATTGGTCCCAGTGAAGATGGGGTGACGTCTGGAAAAAGATCTTCCCAACGTTCCATAAATGGGGGCTCCCTGTGAAAAGTATCTCGATATGGAGGACAGCAAACAGAACACAGAACCCACCCAGTGCGCAGAGCAAGTTAATATATCCAACCTGCCTCTTCCACCGGAGGAGCGTACAGACAGCACTGGACAAGAAGGGAAATGGTGCCGCTTCCTCCCTACTGGTATTTGGAAAGAATCCCATCTTCTGCTGGTATTGGCCGGTCCTGGGGTAAGAACTGTAATGGTAAAGTGTCTACAGAAATGGTCGATATGCCGACCCGCCCCTTCTTACCCCCAACTATCAAGGCCAGCAAAGCATCATTGCAGTTGTAGCTCTATAAGAGTTGGGGGGTCTTCATTGTCACAGTCCCTGCATCATATAGGATATTTACTAACCCACCGTGACCCGGTAAAAGAGGAAGTGTGACTTCCCAGAATTTGAATACTATGTTTACTTATCTCTATATTTAATAAATATGTATATGTGAGCTGTGAAAAAATTAAATGTAGAAATTCACAGCTTTATTACCCTGCATCTATGGCGGAGCAAAGGGGGCAATCAACCCCCTAGATTATTCTTCGCCCCTCTTTGTGCCCCTGCCTAGAGTGCCAGTGCCCAACTAACAGGGCAGTGTAGGCGCCAGCCTACTCACATGACAGGTAGCATCTGTCTAAAAACACATGGATTTCAAGATCAGAGACAACACTTCAGGGAGATCATGCCAAACTAATCTTATTGATTTTTTTGATTGGGTAACTAAAATAACAGATCAGGGTGGTGCAGTAGACATTGCCTACCTAGATTTCAGAAGGCTTTTGACACTGTTGCACTTAGAAGGCTTATCAATAAACTGCAATCTTTAAGTTTGGGTTCCAATATTGTTGAATGGGTAAGGCAGTGGCTGAGTGACAGGCAACAGAGGATTGTAGTCAATGGAGTATATTCAAAGCATGGGCTTGTCACCAGTGGGTTACCTCAGGGATCTGTACTTGGACCCATTCTCTTTAATATTTTTATTAGTGATATTGCAGAAGGTCTTGATGGTAAGGTATGTCTTTTTGCTGATGATACTAAGATATG